TATAATTAAAATAAAAATTAACTATAATGATATATTTATAATAAAAATTAGTAAAATAACATTTTCTTCAAATAAAAATCTTTTGATTATTAAACTTATAAATTTAAATATTTTTTATTTTTTTTTTGCGGATTAAAATTGGTAGGAAAATCTACAAAAAAATTTGCAAGAAACAAAATAATATTCTTACAACTTTTTTTACAAATTTTTACCATGAAAAAAATTTTCTATAATCATTAAAATTATAATAAATTTTGCAAAAATTTTTTGTAGATTATTTTTTATAAAAAAATTTGTAAGAAATATCTGTAAATTATTTTTCGCAAATAAATTCATAAATTTTTTTTGTAAAATTATTATTACAATAAAATTTATAAGAAAATTCTGCAAATATTTTTTTTAGAAAAATCACAGAAAAATAATATTTTTTTAATAGTGTAAATTTGTTAGCAGAGAACAAAGAAATTTTGATAGAATGGTGAATAATTAATCCCATTACCTCATCGCTTCTCGTAGAAATTAATATATAAATGATCTTATACGTCGATTTTTAATTAGCTGACACAAAATATCTGAAAGAATTTAATAAAATGTCACAACCGCATATTCTAAATTGGTTGTTAAGCGACGCATGTTGTACTTTCTTAGTAGTAACATTTGGTAAATTACTAATTTATATATTTGAATTTATTGTAAAATTTGAATAACATGCCAATGTTTATTGACTATGTATATGCCCACGTAGAAATACTCAAGGCTACGTATTGTGCATATCTTTATGCAATTATAGTCTAAATAACAATTGTTGTTAATAAAACAAGAAAAAAAATTTGGGTTTTTATTTTTTATAGAAGTAAAAGAAACGGAAACTGAACTGCTTTATTCCACTGAAAATATTACAACCTTATTAAACTTCACAAACAACACTGAACAATAACCACCCACACTTGCTACGACCATGTCCTAAAAATAGGTCACGATCACAAATTTAACCAAAATGAAAAAGTTAACCGACACCAAACTACAAGAACTATTTGAAACATTTAATTCATAACAAACACATCATTTAACAACATAGAATCAACTCAAGCAAAGTAAAATTGACAAGCCCTGATTAAAAATTGCATATCACCCAAGTAATTCTTGGAGCTTGTGACAAAAACTATCAATGTAAGTGTTCTCCAAATCCTTGCTGATTAAGATGTTTCTCAATTTTAAATGATTTTTTCTAGCCTCCCTTCCAATCTCACTCTCATCATCCATCACGGCCTTCACAGCTTTGCAGACACTCTCCTTTGTAAACAAATATTACAAGAAAAATGTTGATTTCCGACAGAAATTTTTGACGGAAATAAGTAAATTTCCGATGGATTTTTCTTTTTCTGACGGATTTCCGATGGATTTCAATCCGTCAGAAAAAGTAGCGTCGGAAAAAAAAATTCGTCGGAAATAATTTTCCGATGGAATTTTCTGACAGAAAATTCCGTCGGAAATTTCCGACAGAAATATCCGTCGGAAAATTCAGGTCAACCCGTTGAAGGATGAAGTGTTTCACTTTGGCGGGTTTCCGAGGTTTCCTCTTTATTGGCAATAGAATTCGGTCAAATTCAATGGGTCAACCGATCTCCAGCTGTCAGAGTCGGATACTACTGCCATCGCCAACCTGGCCGCGCTTCCTCGTCCATTGGATTGCAAGCTCGTCCTGTCGCTTGCCAATTTCGCGTACAAGGAGAGGGGCTTAGAGAGTGAGTACCTTGGCACCCTTGGTTGTTGGGTTTTCTTACTTTTTCTTCTTTTTCTTCTTTTGCTGATGTGTTGGGTTTTTTTGCTTGCAGGTATCATGGGGAGAAGCAAATGGCGCGAGCTGAAAGCCCATTATAATGTTGCCGAGATCGAGGTCCCCGAGGTCGGTGAGGAGGAGGTTGCTCCTATCGAAACCCGACGAAAAAGAAAGAGGGGAGAGAAAGAGGTCGGGGGGACCTCTGCCCCTCAAGATGCTGCAGAGGTGACTTCCCCTTTTTCTTTTCGGCGGCGACCGTCTCGACGGCCACCGCCTTGCGGCGCGCCTTGCCTTTACCCTTGGCCGGCCCAGAAGACATGGCACCACTCCCTCCAGCCATCAAGAAGATGAAAAGATTCGAGAAGGATAAGAAGATAGAGAAGTCGAAGTACCTGGTACTCCTTTGACAAACGGAAGAACACTAACGAAGGATGGGGACTTGGTTGTCGGAAATGGCGATGGAGAAGAACGGAGACAAGAGAAACGAGGACGGAGAGTGGACAGAGGAAAGTGAAGAGGCGTCGAGAACAAGCCAAAGGGAAAAGAGTAAAGTGAAGGGGGAAGGGCGCAAGAGAGAGAGAAAAGAAGTCTCAAAAATTTGAAAATAGACGACACGTGGAAAGCGAAAAACAACACTGACGACACATTAATGGAGCCCATTATGATGGGTACAACCATCATTGCATAACCGTCATTTCCCATTAACACGCCGACCACGCGTTATGGGAACGAGGTGACAGTTATGACACATGACATCATGACAAAGGAGCGCATGCGAAGAGTCACGACCCCTTGTCGAGCTCGACATTAAATCCTCGACCCACAATCTTCGGAGCTCGGGGGGCTAGTGTACTATCCGTACAGAGAAGCCGAGCTCTAGCTCGGCATCACAGCGCAAATCGACCTCGGATACGCGCTAGGTGACATCGGCCAAGACGAGGTCCGTTATCTAAATAGGTCGTAACCGATCTAAGGCCCAAGGCCCAATAAAACCCTAATTCACACAAAAATACGTGCATTACTTATACGAGACCCATACATCCACAAACACTAACTTTATCATCGAAGTCTCTTTTGCAGGTACCACCCCTACTTGGAACAACAATCATACCCAGCGAAGGAGGCTCATCAATCTTGCCCAGCAGATCGTCCCTACGACCGATCTCCGGTAAGAACAATTATATTTTTGGGTCAAAAACATATTATTATTATAGAGGAAAAATATTTTATAATATACATGTATTCATTATATTTAATTATTTTGAGGAAAAAGAGAAGTGGGTTAGAAGAAAAGGAAAATGGGTTGGGTTGACCCAGCCCAATGGATTAATTTTAAGAAAGGAGTCAGGTAGCGTTAACCATATCTGCCTTATTTGCGTTCTGAAGGGTTAGCAAAAAAAAAAAGAGGAGAAACAAAAAGCTCTAAGGAAGAGTACTCAGGAACGATCTTAGATCACACCAAGATCATTCCTCTTCTGCTCATCCAGGTAAATGGGAGTGAGAAACCTTGCTCTAGGTGTGGGAATGTATGTTGGGTAGCCGGCCAAGGGTAAAGGCAAGGCGCGCCGCAAGGCGGTGGCCGTCGAGACGGTCGCCGCCGAAAAGAAAAAGGGTAGGAACCACCCTAGGGAACCTTTCCCCGTCATCTCTGGCTATGAATGGGTCAGGGGTGACGTCGGAGAGTTCCAGAGCGTCTTCACGTCATTTTTGGAGATCAACACGATGTGGAGATCGCATAGGATCTGTCAATCATCCCTCTCTAAGCTCATCTGGCTCGAACCTTGTCAGCCCGGCGAGCGTGTATATATGGAGGGTACCTCTAATCCCCCTTTTTCTATATGTACCAGTGCTTTTTTAGGGATTTAGGCGTGTGCCTTCCCTTTTCCTAATTTGAATGCGATTTTTTGAATTTTGTTAACTCGGCTCCTTACCAGTTACACCCCAATAGTTGGGGTTTTTTGAGGGCTTTTCAAGTCCTGTGCTCGACCCTAGGGATAGGGTTGTCTTTGCCTATTTTCTTTCATTTTTATCAACTTAAACTGGATGAGCCTCCCTTGGGTTGGGCGTCCTTAAACGGGAGTAAGGCTGGGGGGTTGTTTTCTCTTTACAACCAGTCTTACAAGAGCTTCAAGAAGGAGTTCTTCCGGGTTTTGTCGAAGGAGGTCAACCCGTTGAAGGATGAAGTGTTTCACTTTGGCGGGTTTCCGAGGTTTCCTCTTTATTGGCAATAGAATTCGGTCAAATTCAATGGGTCAACCGATCTCCAGCTGTCAGAGTCGGATACTACTGCCATCGCCAACCTGGCCGCGCTTCCTCGTCCATTGGATTGCAAGCTCGTCCTGTCGCTTGCCAATTTCGCGTACAAGGAGAGGGGCTTAGAGAGTGAGTACCTTGGCACCCTTGGTTGTTGGGTTTTCTTACTTTTTCTTCTTTTTCTTCTTTTGCTGATGTGTTGGGTTTTTTTGCTTGCAGGTATCATGGGGAGAAGCAAATGGCGCGAGCTGAAAGCCCATTATAATGTTGCCGAGATCGAGGTCCCCGAGGTCGGTGAGGAGGAGGTTGCTCCTATCGAAACCCGACGAAAAAGAAAGAGGGGAGAGAAAGAGGTCGGGGGGACCTCTGCCCCTCAAGATGCTGCAGAGGTGACTTCAAAGGCCGCTGATTCTGACGCGTTCGATCTGACAGGAAGTCCTCCTCCCGAGGGATCATCCCGAGCTGCCGTGGAGGAGGTTGCTCGGGAGGTGCAGGTTTGTGTCTTTCCTCTTGCCGTTTTTCTTCCACATTGTGTGGTTTTCCTGCTTTATAACTTAGGGAATTTTTTGTGTTTTGTAGACGGAGCCTACAAAGTCTGCCGCCAAGATATATTAAAACAAATAATTTTTTGATAAAATAAAATTTGTGGCATACATGTTTCTCTTTTGTGTTTTTTATTTATTATATACGTTGATTGAAAAAATCAAAATAGTAAAATTGTATATGATTAAAAAATTCAAAATAAGAAAAATCATAAGATTTATATTCTATTTAGAATTGTTATTATAAGATATATTTTAAAATAAATTATCATCTAAAAATATATATTAGATATTAAAAACATATTTATATCATAAATAAATTAAACTTTATTTTTATAAATTTAACATATAGATTTTTATATTTTTAATAGTGTTAAATTATTATAAAATAAGTCTATATGATTGTAGTTCTACCCAAATATTTAAAAATTATCTATGATAGATAAATAAGTCACACTTAAAATATATATTTTTAAAGAAAGTTAGGTTCAAACCAAGTAAATTATAATAAAATATAGTATGACCTAATTTATTTTCATCTTTAATACTAATCGTAGATATAAAAAACTTGTAATAAATAATTATAATATATATTTATACCTTTAAAAGATATATAAAAATTTTAATACTACAAATATATATAAGAAATTAAAAATAAGAAATTAAAAAAAGAAATTAAAATAAAAATTAAAAATAAGATTTTCGACAGAAAATTCTGTCAAAAATTTCCGACGGATTTATTCCATCGGAAATTTTCCGTTAGAAATTTCCGACAGAATTATTTTTCTGTCAAAAATTTCTGACAGAATTTTCTGTCAGAAAGTTTCTGTCAGAAATTTCTGACGGATTTATATTTTTGTCAGAAATTTCTGACAGAAAATTCTTGACGGAAAATTTCGTCAAAAATTTCCGACGGAAATATAAATCCGTCGAAAATTTCAGACGGATCCATATTCGTCAGAAATTTTCCGTCGAAAATTTACATTTTTCTTGTAGTGAAACCATCTTCTTCACCTTTCTCCACTTCAACACCAGCCTTAAAGCTGCTGCTTATCAACCTTGCATTAAAGATCTGATCAAGAATATTTGATAACATCACAATCTGACACTTGCTCACAAGTGCTTCTACTAAAGATGAGGCTCCACAATGGGTCATGAAGCACCCTATAGAGGGGTGATCAAGAATTAATGTCTGTTGAAACCAACCCTCATGTACAATGCCTCTTCCATGAGCCCTCTCTTTGAACCCTTCTGGCATAGCTTCTTCTACAGAATCAAATCCAATAGGTGCTTTAAGTGCTGCTAGAAATGGAAAACCTGTTGGAGAATAATTAAATATGGTCAAGATCCAATTCATCATGTAATCATGTCCAAATTGATAAAGTATTATTATTTTCATTTTGTTAAATAGATAAAGTCCTTTTCATAATAAAAATTATGATAATAAAAAGTAAAAGTCTGTTATTATTTTATTCTAAATTGTTCTTGATCATAGGATTATTGTATATGGGACATCAATAAATCTAGATAGATCAATATATATGTGAATGTCTTTATAGGATAAAGATTAAAAAATCTCATTTATTAATTAAATATATAGATGATGCATACGTGAGTATGATTATTTGAACTGACTCAATTGAGAATTTCTAATGGTTTAGATTACCTTAATTCGTCAATAGAAATTTCTCAAGAAGAAATTAAATATTTTTCTTTGACCTGAGATTATCATGGTGATTAACAAGTAATTTATTATATTTTAATTTTGGACACCTAATGTTTTAGGGTATTAGTTGAATGAATATTGGATATGATCAAATGCTTGTAGAATTAATGATAAATCAAGAAGGAATCCATCAACACTTGATAATGAGTTTGAGCTCTATTAATAAATTAAATAATATCATGGCCAAGAAAATTAATTGGAAGAAGAAATGAATTTCTTAAGTCAGTCGTAACAAGAGTATTGTTAGATGTCTACCTTGATTAATATATTATTTTGATTAATTTATTACTAGCTTAGTATTGAACTTACAAGATCACACACAAACGAGTATTCTAATTTCTGTTAAAGAAGTTATTTTAACATTTGATGATTAAATAAGAGTATTTAATTTGATTAAATTAAATAATTTAAAGTGAAATATTATTATATTCTTTGCAAGCACTTAATTAGAATATATATAATATAAATGTTTTGAAATGTTTTTGAATTTCAAATTGGAGAATGTATGATTAAAGTATTAGACTTTATCAGCGTTGTTTATACTGATAAATATGAGATGAAAATATTTAAAGATACATATTTGATATTATTTTTATTTAAAAAAAATAAAATATGAATCTTTATATAAAAAAAAGCATGCAGTTCCTTAAAGATACATATTTGATATTATTTTTATTTGAAAAATAAAATAAAATATGAATATTTATAAAAAGGATGCAATCTCTTAAAGATACATATTTGATATTATTTTTATTTGAAAAATAAAATAAAATATGAATATTTATAAAAAGGATGCAATCTCTTAAAGATACATATTTGATATTATTTTTATTTGAAAAATAAAATAAAATATGAATATTTATAAAAAGGATGCAATCTCTTAAAGATACATATTTGATATTATTTTTATTTGAAAAATAAAATAAAATATGAATATTTATAAAAAGGATGCAATCTCTTAAAGATACATATTTGATATTATTTTTATTTGAAAAATAAAATAAAATATGAATATTTATAAAAAGGATGCAATCTCTTAAAGATACATATTTGATATTATTTTTATTTGAAAAATAAAATAAAATATGAATATTTATAAAAAGGATGCAATCTCTTAAAGATACATATTTGATATTATTTTTATTTGAAAAATAAAATAAAATATGAATATTTATAAAAAGGATGCAATCTCTTAAAGATACATATTTGATATTATTTTTATTTGAAGAAACAAAATAAAATATATTACTAGTTTCTTAATTTTAGGAAAAGAAGATCTTTAAGTATGACTTTTTACTGCACATAAAGGAGATATTTTTTCTACTATCTCTTCGACCTCCTTTTTTACATATAATTCTTAAGCATTTTATTTTTTATTTCACTTTTTCAAAGAGTTTTAAAAATAGAGATTGGTCTCGGTGTGGATATATGTAAGATCTTCACATTATTAAAAAGAAATTAATACTATGATAGAGGGTACACTTGGAGTACACTATTCTCATTAATAAGAAGAAATTTTATGATTAAACAGCTCTTTAATATGTATGTTTAAAAGATTTTATCACAAACTTAATATAATTTATATGCAAATAGACCCTATTATTTCGCATGTAAATTATGTATTATGAATACTGTATTATCTTTGAATACCTGTTAACTCAAGACCCAGCAACAGTTCCTTGAACTGATTCTGGATTAACCTCCATTCACTTCCAAACGCACAGTATATGACTGAACCAGGCTTGAATCCTGAAAGCAATTGAGCCCATTTTTCTTCCAAAGTGGAGGTAGGTGGCTCTGGTAGTACAGGCCCTGAAAGCAAAAAAGGCTTCCCATAAAAACTCTCAAGAAACTCAGCATATGTTCCCTCAAGTTCTCTACAACCTTTATATCCCACAGCATCCGACAGTGTGATGCCAGTTTGGATCCGATCCAAGAAACGAACACCACTACCAAACTTTGAATTCATGAATGAAGCTAATTGTCGAACCTCATGATCATGAAGCTTGATGGAAGAATCTGGGAACGTCCCATTATTTACGGTGGATTTCGTTTTATGGATCCTTTTTATTCGAACTAGCACGATTTCACGTTTCAATTTATGCGTGTTCGTGACATGACAGAATTGAAGACTTTCAGTGAAAAAATAAAATCGTACAAGTAAGAAATAGAGTTTTCATTAAATGGTAACAGAATTACAATTCGTAAGGATAACGAAACGTGTTTAGAATGACTACACTACACTAGGCTAGATTATGCTATGCTACGCTACTCCTAAAAAAGGAAAAAGAAAGGTGGTCGAGAAATCGTACCCAAAGCTGTCTCGTATGCACAGTATGCCTTATGCACAGGCTGCGGAGTGCGTGTGAGGTATTGTGGGAATTAGATTTTCGACCTCTGCTACGAGCATGGCTCGTTTAATTTATAGACAAAAATCTGGGAAAGGTAACTGTTTCTGACGTGCCCCGGAAGCGCATAACCGTTCTAAACTTCCACGTCGTGGCTTATTCCCGGGCACGTCTTTGGATAACTCTTGGAACTGCTCATTAACTTCCCCAAACCGTTTTGCAGCCTTTGACACTTATCCCATGATTTACTTCAACCGCTCTTAAATCGTGTCTCCTTTAAGCTCTTCATTCCGAGAGGTTGCGAAGTGTGTTCGTGTATGTCCGGATTCTTGGGATTTCGAGTAACCAACGAAAAATATACTCGAGTGTTTCCTGATTTTTCTTGTACTTTGAGAGGTTGCGAGGCTGTGAGCCTTTCTCTTGAGCAGCGTCCTTCCTAGTTCAATAATTTCGAGAGTTTCTCGAAAAGTGTCTTCGTGTCCTTCCTGGTACAATGATTTCGAGAGTTTCTCGAAAAGTGTCTTCGTGTCCTTCCTCGTACAATGATTTCGAGAGTTTCACGAAAAGTGTCTTCGTGTCCTTCCTCAGAAACTTCTTTGCCATTTTCCGATCACCTAGGATTTAAAGCACCTCTGTATTTCGAGTGCCTCCGAATTCATTTTCCGGTACCAACAAATGCCCCCCTGGAAAACATTTGTTTCGAAGTAACTGAGAAAGAATGTTTTTCAACGCCTCAACTCTCTTTCTCTGATAAGACCCTAGAGCGTTGTACTCTTCGCGAGAATTAAATGCCCCTGACATCTTTTAATTCTGAATTTCTCCTTTTCGTACCAGCTGCTCCATTTTCTCGGGATGTTATCGAAATTCGTGAATCAACTTCTCCTGAACGTCCTGAGGTATGTTTTGTTGACTTTCGATTTTCCTCGAGCCTTCTCAGCTTTATAATTTCATAATTTCAGACTCCTCGAAAGCCTTAGCTGCTGATCTGTCAAACATAACGCTACATCTCGGATAAAGCATAACTTCCCGATCATCATCTTTCTTCCTTGAAAGAAAATCGAGCAAACTGTCCCTCTCTTTCGGATACATAGGTTCCTGCTCTTTCGCGAACTCATCTAAGAGCTCTTCCAGTTTTTTCATCCGTAATAAGTTCGACAACTTCCTCTTCGTTCGCAACCAGGTCAGCCATATCGATTTCAAGCACATTACATTGATCCCCATAGAGAGAGGTTCCACATATCCTGCTTGTGCAGCGAATATTGATCAGTATCAATTTTCATTTTCTTCTCCTCGAAAGCCAAGCGACCATCAGTAATCGCTTTCTCGACCATATCCCTGAAACGTACACAATTGTTAGTCCAATGACCATACATGTTGTGTTGTGGTAATTTTTTTTTTTGTTAAAAAGGAGGAATTTTACGATTTTCTGGAAGTATGATTTGCTTATCTTTCAGGGAAATATCGAATATTCTATCGACTTTTGTTATATCGAAACTATATTTTCTATTTGATCCGGCCTCTATATCATTTTCCCCAGGTTTTAATAATTGGCATTGATAGGTTGGCCCAGGTTGCAATTCGGCTAAGTTCACTTCCATTTCTTCATTTAGAGATTCGAAATTATCATCGTTAACGTCCATATTGTCTAAATATGCTACTTTTTCTCTTCGAACAAACTTGTCAATTTTCTCAACCTTTCTTTCTCTGCTCGAATTTGTTCAATTCGTCTCACTTTCTCTGCTAGTTGAGCCATATCTCTCAATTGTTCATTTATAAGTTTCTTTCGAATCGAAAAATCTAACCCAGTGGCGGCAATTTTTACCAACTCATGCTCAGGAATATTCGTGTAACATCGAGACTTTAGTTTCCTAAATCTATTCAAATATTCATCCAATGTCTCATGATGTTGCCTCTTCATGTTCATCAAATCAACTATGCTCACCTTGATTTCCTCTCGAAAAAAGTTTTCGTGGAAACTCCTTTCCAATTGTGCCCAAGTAATAATCGAATTAGATGGCAAAGTCGTAAACCACGCAAAAGCATGTTTGGTTAGTGAACTCAAAAAATATTTCATTTTCAAATATTCATTACCCACTAGGTCTCCACACTCGACTAGATATCTGGCTATGTGTTCTACGATGGATTCACGGAACTCTCCTGCGAATTTTGAGAATTTCGGGACTTTCATCCCCCTGGGTAGCTCAAATTGGGTAATATAGTCAGGAAAGGCAGATACAAAATAAGGGTGCTCATTTCGCCCCGTTTCAAATTCGTGCCTATTTAGTACCTTCTCGACTATATGATCCAAAAATGCTTCTACCTCAAGCTAAGGAGTAACCGAATCCCTTCCTTGCTTCAACCTCCATTGAAGGTTCCTTCATGGAGATTCAAGTCTTATTTTGAAGGATGCCTCAAGAGTATTTCGGTCTTTGCATGGAAAGCTTGGAAGAACATTCATCTTCTCCAAGTGCTTCCATCATTTTTGGTATCTAGAGCCTAGTGCTCTTCAGGTTTGGTGTTCTAATTTTTTTCTAGTGATTCCATGTTGTATCTTCCTTCTCCTATGTCTAAATATGTGTTTTCTGCATGCATCTAAATTTTCTAAATTTTTTTGATAGATCCTATATGTCACATAAGAAGAAATTGATTCATGTTTTTACTTGTTCCTATTAATCCGTGAATCAATTGTTTTGTGCTTTAGGTTCCTATACTTGTGTGTTTTGCTTTTGTTTGAGTCTCTCCATTCTATAACATGTGTCCGTGATTGGACTTCATTCACATTGCATTAGTTTTATTTTTGAATCAATTGTTTTGTCATAGAAGTCATGTGTAGTCCTTTTCGTGTTGAAAATTCCTAGACTAGCTTGTTGACCTAATTTTTTGTGTGTTGTTTGTGTCCGAATTTTTTTGTGTATTTTCTTATTAAATCTGAACCTACTCACATGTGCTTTTGTTTTACATATTTGAGTTCATTATTTGCTATTAGTTCTAGCAAATTTCTTAGAGTTAGGTTTCCTTTATGTCTTGTTAAAAGTTTTGTCAAAAAAAAATTGTTAAACACTAATTCCTATTAGGTTTCTTTGAGTCTTGTTTTGTGGCTGAAACTTTTAACACTTTTTAAAGCATTGAAATAGAGACAAAAAAGAGGTGTATGTGTTCTTAATGCATGAGAAAAAAAAAAGAAAATAGTGCCTAAATTTGTGACCTAAAAATACTACAAAATTAGAAGCACTAGTTAGAATATGCATGTGAACACCTCTTGTTTTGTGAAAATATTTTGGCAGAAGTTTTAGTAGCCTAAAACCGAGACTTATATGTGTTAAAAAGGCATTTGAACTCCTGATCATTAAAATAAAAAGAAGTGAAAAATATTTTGCAAAAAGAAAAGAATGAAAATAGCAAAAGAAAAAGCCAAAAGGAGTGAAAAACCTAGTGTAACTAGCTCTCGGTTTTGGTGAAGTTTTTGCATCTAAAATTTTCAGTCCAGCCACATATTTTGTGTCTTATTTTTGTTTCTAATCTTAGGTTTTATTTTGCAATCCATTCTAGTGCCTTTGTTAGGATATCCTTTGTGTGCTAGCTTTCTAAATTTGCCTTAATTTCTTGCTTGTCAATTTTTGGAACTCCTTCTAGTTTGTCTCATTTCATTCCACCAATTGGTGTAGCTATTCTAAACTGTGCCTTTTCAGTTTTAGCAATAATATTCCAGCCATTGAAGGTGGTTGAGTGCTTCTTAAAAGGTGTAGGAGGCCAAGTCAAAGGAAGTCAACTTGAAGGCTTTGGTGGTTGCTTAGGGAGCTTGTTCTCTCTTGGTGGAAGGTTTCTTGCAAACACCTAAAAGTAACCAAAGTCAAGGTTGCTTCTAAAATAAGAGTGATACACTTGTGAGGGCTGCATGCTTGGTGGCTGAAATTGGAAGAGAAGGAGCAACAAAATTTTGAAAATTTTGTGAACTTTAGAGACCAATTTTAGTGACGGAAATTTTTGTTACTAAATCTATTTTTCCTTACAAAATTTGTCTCTAAAATTTGTTTCTAATTAGTGGCTAATTTGTTTTCTTTGAAATTAAGTGCAGCCACTAATTTCATTTGATTGTGAATTTACATTTCATTTGGTGTGAATTTACATTTCATTTAAGTGTGAATTTGCATTTCATTTGGTGTAAATTCCGTTTGTCAAAGGAGTACCAGGTACTTCGACTTCTCTATCTTCTTATCCTTCTCGAATCTTTTCATCTTCTTGATGGCTGGAGGGAGTGGTGCCATGTCTTCTGGGCCGGCCAAGGGTAAAGGCAAGGCGCGCCGCAAGGCGGTGGCCGTCGAGACGGTCGCCGCCGAAAAGAAAAAGGGTAGGAACCACCCTAGGGAACCTTTCCCCGTCATCTCTGGCTATGAATGGGTCAGGGGTGACGTCGGAGAGTTCCAGAGCGTCTTCACGTCATTTTTGGAGATCAACACGATGTGGAGATCGCATAGGATCTGTCAATCATCCCTCTCTAAGCTCATCTGGCTCGAACCTTGTCAGCCCGGCGAGCGTGTATATATGGAGGGTACCTCTAATCCCCCTTTTTCTATATGTACCAGTGCTTTTTTAGGGATTTAGGCGTGTGCCTTCCCTTTTCCTAATTTGAATGCGATTTTTTGAATTTTGTTAACTCGGCTCCTTACCAGTTACACCCCAATAGTTGGGGTTTTTTGAGGGCTTTTCAAGTCCTGTGCTCGACCCTAGGGATAGGGTTGTCTTTGCCTATTTTCTTTCATTTTTATCAACTTAAACTGGATGAGCCTCCCTTGGGTTGGGCGTCCTTAAACGGGAGTAAGGCTGGGGGGTTGTTTTCTCTTTACAACCAGTCTTACAAGAGCTTCAAGAAGGAGTTCTTCCGGGTTTTGTCGAAGGAGGTCAACCCGTTGAAGGATGAAGTGTTTCACTTTGGCGGGTTTCCGAGGTTTCCTCTTTATTGGCAATAGAATTCGGTCAAATTCAATGGGTCAACCGATCTCCAGCTGTCAGAGTCGGATACTACTGCCATCGCCAACCTGGCCGCGCTTCCTCGTCCATTGGATTGCAAGCTCGTCCTGTCGCTTGCCAATTTCGCGTACAAGGAGAGGGGCTTAGAGAGTGAGTACCTTGGCACCCTTGGTTGTTGGGTTTTCTTACTTTTTCTTCTTTTTCTTCTTTTGCTGATGTGTTGGGTTTTTTTGCTTGCAGGTATCATGGGGAGAAGCAAATGGCGCGAGCTGAAAGCCCATTATAATGTTGCCGAGATCGAGGTCCCCGAGGTCGGTGAGGAGGAGGTTGCTCCTATCGAAACCCGACGAAAAAGAAAGAGGGGAGAGAAAGAGGTCGGGGGGACCTCTGCCCCTCAAGATGCTGCAGAGGTGACTTCAAAGGCCGCTGATTCTGACGCGTTCGATCTGACAGGAAGTCCTCCTCCCGAGGGATCATCCCGAGCTGCCGTGGAGGAGGTTGCTCGGGAGGTGCAGGTTTGTGTCTTTCCTCTTGCCGTTTTTCTTCCACATTGTGTGGTTTTCCTGCTTTATAACTTAGGGAATTTTTTGTGTTTTGTAGACGGAGCCTACAAAGTCTGCCGCCAAGGTCCGAGCGTTTGTTGATACATTCATTTTATATTTTTTCAGTAGGGAAAAAGGGGTGGCATTTAGCAATGCTTGCGGGTGTGACTAGTAATTGGGCTAGAACTGGGCCTAGGCAAAGTTTTGCATATTAGACTCATTTTGCTCCTAATTTTTCATAGATTTGATTTAGCTAGGTCTCATCATCATATGTTGAACCTAACTAAACCAAATCAAATATTTTTGAAATAAATCATGGAGCATTTTTTAGCCTTGGCCGCCTAGCTAATTCCTTTTGTTCTTGGCCAAAATTTCTAGCTTCTCCTACAAGCTTTGAAGCTTTCCTTCCAACCTTATAAACCTTAGAAGGTTTGGCTGACCTTACCATGGTTCTTAAGTAAACCATGGTCAAGGTTAGCTTCTCCTACAAGTTTTAGAAACCATGGATGGTTAGCTACACCTTACCATGGTTCCTAGCGAACCATGGTTAAGGTTAGCTTACACTACAAGCTACCTCTCCCTATAAATTTGTATTTTCTTCACTTGTAATCACTTTTGAACATTTGAGAAATTAATCTTCAGATTTCTCTCCCAAATGTCTCTCCTAAAAACCGTAGAGAATTCTTTCTTTAGGTTTCTACCAAAGGTGCTTCAACCTTTGCTTGGTTCTTCATGCTTCTACCTCAAGCTAAGGAGTAACCGAATCCCTTCCTTGCTTCAACCTCCATTGAAGGTTCCTTCATGGAGATTCAAGTCTTATTTTGAAGGATGCCTCAAGAGTATTTCGGTCTTTGCATGGAAAGCTTGGAAGAACATTCATCTTCTCCAAGTGCTTCCATCATTTTTGGTATCTAGAGCCTAGTGCTCTTCAGGTTTGGGTTCTAACTTTTTTGTATGAATCCGTGTTGTATCTTCCTTCTCCTATGTCTAAATATGTGTTTTCTGCATGCATCTAAATTTTCTAAATTTTTTTGATAGATCCTATATGTCACATAAGAAGAAATTGATTCATGTTTTTACTTGTTCCTATTAATCCGTGAATCAATTGTTTTGTGCTTTAGGTTCCTATACTTGTGTGTTTTGCTTTTGTTTGAGTCTCTCCATTCTATAACATGTGTCCGTGATTGGACTTCATTCACATTGCATTAGTTTTATTTTTGAATCAATTGTTTTGTCATAGAAGTCATGTGTAGTCCTTTTCGTGTTGAAAATTCCTAGACTAGCTTGTTGACCTAATTTTTTGTGTGTTGTTTGTGTCCGAATTTTTTTGTGTATTTTCTTATTAAATCTGAACCTACTCACATGTGCTTTTGTTTTACATATTTGAGTTCATTATTTGCTATTAGTTCTAGCAAATTTCTTAGAGTTAGGTTTCCTTTATGTCTTGTTAAAAGTTTTGTCAAAAAAAAATTGTTAAACACTAATTCCTATTAGGTTTCTTTGAGTCTTGTTTTGTGGCTGAAACTTTTAACACTTTTTAAAGCATTGAAATAGAGACAAAAAAGAGGTGTATGTGTTCTTAATGCATGAGAAAAAAAAAAGAAAATAGTGCCTAAATTTGTGACCTAAAAATACTACAAAATTAGAAGCACTAGTTAGAATATGCATGTGAACACCTCTTGTTTTGTGAAAATATTTTGGCAGAAGTTTTAGTAGCCTAAAACCGAGACTTATATGTGTTAAAAAGGCATTTGAACTCCTGATCATTAAAATAAAAAGAAGTGAAAAATATTTTGCAAAAAGAAAAGAATGAAAATAGCAAAAGAAAAAGCCAAAAGGAGTGAAAAACCTAGTGTAACTAGCTCTCGGTTTTGGTGAAGTTTTTGCATCTAAAATTTTCAGTCCAGCCACATATTTTGTGTCTTATTTTTGTTTCTAATCTTAGGTTTTATTTTGCAATCCATTCTAGTGCCTTTGTTAGGATATCCTTTGTGTGCTAGCTTTCTAAATTTGCCTTAATTTCTTGCTTGTCAATTTTTGGAACTCCTTCTAGTTTGTCTCATTTCATTCCACCAATTGGTGTAGCTATTCTAAACTGTGCCTTTTCAGTTTTAGCAATAATATTCCAGCCATTGAAGGTGGTTGAGTGCTTCTTAAAAGGTGTAGGAGGCCAAGTCAAAGGAAGTCAACTTGAAGGCTTTGGTGGTTGCTTAGGGAGCTTGTTCTCTCTTGGTGGAAGGTTTCTTGCAAACACCTAAAAGTAACCAAAGTCAAGGTTGCTTCTAAAATAAGAGTGATACACTTGTGAGGGCTGCATGCTTGGTGGCTGAAATTGGAAGAGAAGGAGCAACAAAATTTTGAAAATTTTGTGAACTTTAGAGACCAATTTTAGTGACGGAAATTTTTGTTACTAAATCTATTTTTCCTTACAAAATTTGTCTCTAAAATTTGTTTCTAATTAGTGGCTAATTTGTTTTCTTTGAAATTAAGTGCAGCCACTAATTTCATTTGATTGTGAATTTACATTTCATTTGGTGTGAATTTACATTTCATTTAAGTGTGAATTTGCATTTCATTTGGTGTAAATTTGCATTTCATTTTTCTTGTAAATTTTTAATTCTCCATTTTTGTACAAGGCCTTTATTAAGGAGTGTCTTGGAGTGCCTTTGGTGTATCTCCATCTCTCCTTAAGTGTTCTAATAGTAAAATCGTGTAGTACTTGTGAGAGGGTCCTTGAAGGTCTTTGGTGCCTTTTAAGCTCTCACATAGGTTTAATTGCTTTCAACGCCTAGTTTATGTTTTCTTGTCTTTAAGATTTCATGCAATTTAT